TCCAAATAATAGGCAAAAATTATTAGAGCCCTTAGTGTTTTCTCACTTACAGATTTACTTCCTTTCTTCTCTACCTGAATCCAAACACAGTTAAAAATAATTTTCTAATAATCAGTGTCAGAAATAAAAGAATCCATCTTGAGATGTTATTTATTCATGCCATCCTACCTGAAAGCAAGAGATATACAAAGGCTTGCAGTTGAGAAGTATTCAAATATCATCTCTGAATTCATTTTAATATTAATAATTTAATATTTTTGAATTTCCTTTTTAAATTCATTGTCCACATAAAATATTACTGAGCCCCAAGTGTCAAAAATATATTAAAAAATGTACAAGTATCCACATTACAATGTTGTCAAGCATGTTCTTTTTTTAAAGTATAATTTTTACAACAAAAAAGATGCTATATATCATATTTTACACTTTGCTCTTTATGTATGATGGAGACCATTTCAGCCTAATGACTTTCCTCACCCTTTGACTACTTTCTTATGCATAGTCATGTATTTCTCTAATTGTCTCCTTGCAACAAGGCAAGGGCATGAGATCAGTTTTGCTAACTAGGGTATGAGAAGTAACGCATTAGTCATCTGAATGGTCAAATCTATATTTCTTACAAATTAGAATATAAAACCCAGCAATTCCACTTCTACAAATATATCCAAGAGATTTGAAAACACTTATCCACAAAAACACCTTGTTAAAGATTGTTGATCGAAACTTTTTTCATAATAGCCGAAATGTAGAAGGAACCCAAAGCTCCATCAAATGATGAATGGATAAAAAACTGGAATGTTACTACTCAGCAATAAAAAGTTATGAGGTACTGTTAACTGTTACAACATTGATGACCCTTGAAAGCTTATGCTAAGTGAAAGAAGGTTGAAATAAGGCCACATACTGTATAACTTAATTTTTATTAAATGCCCCCAAATAGCCATATCCACAGAGATGGAAAGTAGCTTATTATTTGCTTACGATGAGGGTGAAGTTCAAAATAACTGCTAAAGGATACGGGTCTTTTAAGGGGTGGTGATGAATGATAATATTGTGGTTAGACAAAGTGGCAAACAAGTGGTAAATGTACTAAATCCCACTGTTATCGTTCATTTGCTAAGTGTGCATTTTATTGTATGCAAATGATGCAATTTAAAAAAGCATAAGCCAATGTCTCCATAGTGAGTTCAGAGAATAGTTCAGATCTACTACTCATGGCTCCCAGGATGCCTTTTTTCCCACTTTTTTATATATGAATTTTATAGGCTTACATAGATTGTCATCCCAGTTTCCAAGTAATGCTAAGATGAACTAGGTGTTACCAATGGTGCTGTCATGGCCTCTTACTTGAGTACTAGGTCTTATTTATCTTGGAAAGATGTAGGTGGTAGGTCGCATAAAAGGGTGGGATTTCTTTGTGTCTTTGCAATCTGTTAGTGATGGCTATGATCCCCATCATACGCTGGTTATAGATTATTCAGTAATAAAGCTGTTTTCCTTCCATTCTACTACTTGGAGGAAATTTCTGGGTCAGGAGATTCTAGTTTTGCTTGTAATTATTTTTCCCGAATAGTGTTGATGTGGAAGAAAGATTATTTCTTGGATAATTTCTTGTGTAATTGAGCTCAACTATTGTTACTAATTTAGATTCACTGCATCCACAACAGGTCCTGACACGGAATTACGTGAAGACACTCCAGCAAGTAAGGGTGTATCAGAAAAGCTTTAACATAATACCCACTTCATCCGCATATGTATGTGCCGTCTACATGTCCAAAGTGAATGAGAATATACATGCAGTTCTCTGTCCCAGGTCAAAGAAAACTATAGATTATTCATCACTTCAATAAAGAGAAGCTTTGGTGGGGGAGGGTATAGTTCAAAGTGCACATGTTTAGCATGCATGAGGTCCTGGGCAGGACCTCCTCAAAAAAAAAGAAAGAAAGAAACCTAATTTATGCCCCCCCCCAAAAACCCCTCTAAACTAGAGAAATATATCTATTTGGGAAAATATGTTAAAAAAATAGAGAAACTTATCTCTCATCACTGTATTTTTGTGATGGCAGGATAAACGTCACATGCCTTAGTCCTTTAGCCTCCGACGCCCTCAGGTCTTCTCCCTGAGTCTGTGGACCTGTGCAGCGTGTTGAGTTTGACCTCCTGTTGAATGAGGAACAGAAACAGTAAGGCTGTTCCGTGGGGTGTAAGTGTGAAATAAACTTTACTATTCAGGGGAGTTTTGTGTTTGTCATTCTAGTTTCTATTATAGTCAAGTTAGGTTCCCATTTCCTCAAACTGCTTAAATTCTACTTGCAGGAAATGTTCCTGGATCCAACCACCGCCCGACAGCGACCACTTAGAGACGGAAATTTTCAGACCACGGAATTGCTTCCATCTCCCTGGCAGGACATGCGAGCCACCTACTGGTAAAAACAGTTTTTTATTGAAACCGGTTTCAACTTGTCAGGAGGAAACATCTTAGTTTCCGACATAAATGGTCCCCAAACAACTAAGCTTTTACCGTGAAACTGTTCCAGAGAGTAACTTAAAATGAGCGTTTTCAAGGTTCCGGGAAAGGCCAATCCTCTCCTGGCTCCTGCCCCACCCTCCGGCGCTCCCTGTACGGACCTGGGCTCCTTCCTCGCACCGTCCCTGCCGGAAGCACTCCGCCTGACCCCTCGTCCCGGAAGTCCCGCCTCAGACTGCGCGCGCAGTTTCTTCCGGAACCGGAAGCAGGGCTGGACGTGAAGGTTGCGGTTTAGACGGTAAGCTGCTAGTTTCTTATTTGATTCTGTGCTGCCAGGGCCCCCTTCCTCCATTCTCAGGGTCTGGGAGTCACTGCGGACCTAAAATCCCAGCACCCGGCCCCCCGGCCACGTAAGTCCAGGCGGCGCCGTCCTAGGTTGGGGATCTTTTCCTTTGGGTTTGAAACCGCTGAAGCTCGTCCCTGCCCTTGGTTTTTCTCCTTTCCGTCCACGGAGACACCGCCTTTCGTGTTATTTTCCTTCATGAGACCTTTTATTCTTTCCACCCCCCCCCATGAAGAGTCCTCTTTCGCAAGGTGGACTCGCGCCCCCAGCCTCGCCCTCTCTGTCCCTGGAGGTCAGCGCCGGCCGCCCCGCTCCCGTGAGGCCGCGTCCTCTCCCGTGTCCCTGGATTCTGGGGATCAGGCCTTCTCCTGAGACCCTCTCCCTCCTAGCCGCTCTGTCCTCGCGTCCTCCTCAGGCCGGTCCTGTTCCGCGGGTTTCCTCTTCGTAGTTAGCCCTTCCCCCGTCCCGCTAGGAGAATGTGACCTGGGCCAGCCATGTGACCTCCAGTGTAATTCCGTATTAAATCACATCCATTGGAAAATGGTCTCTTTCAGTGGGTGGGGGGGTGCATTTTATTCCGTTGTCAACCCTTTAAATACGTGGGTGAGGGGGATTAGGAGAAGCAGACAGAAGAAGACAAGAGGGATATCAAAAGAGAGCGACTGAGAGGGAAATAGAAATACTGAGAAGGAGAAAAGAAGGATGAAAAACCGATGGGGTCGTTGAGGATGGCTGAGGCACTTGCAAAGCGATAGTAAAATCAAATAGACTTAGACCTTAAAGTAGCAGGTGGATAAAATTAAGTAGCAGGTGAATACAAAGAGAAGGAAATAAAGGCGCGGGATCTCCAGGCATTCGAGTGCCGTGGAGGGAGAGGGGCCCTGGGTCAGCGGTAAGGCGGGAGAGGGCGGGGGAAGGGTAATCATGATGAGGCATTTCGCACCCTGAGTGGAGGGAGAGGATAGGAGAGTTGGGGTCCTGGCCTTCGGAACATCGTGGTCCTGGGAGAGAAACAGAGGACAGCTATTGACTGGAAGAGCAGAGGAGAGAGAGCAGGGAAGAAGCATAGACACCTGGGGTGCGAGAGAGTGGGAAGGATTGGAGGGTCAAAGGATAAAAAGGGTGTAACTCGGAGGGTAGAGAGGGAGCAGAGATCGGAGGAAGAAAGAGGCAGAAATGTGTGGTGATTCAGGACCATCAGAAAGGTTGGGGAGAAGGAGCAGCAAGATAGGGAACATGTTGCAACGTGAGGCAGAACAGGAGTGAGGGAAGAAATAGGAGGGCAGCAGGAACAGGAGGAGAATAGAGGAAAGCAGAGAGAGGGAGACAGATAAAGAATGTAACTGAAACACACTAGTGCAGGTCAAAGAGGGAGAGTGGTTGCAGATGGGAGGTGAGTTGTTTGGATGTGGGTCATTAATTTCTGATGTATTGATTTGTGGCTTTAGAATGCAGTATATTTAAAGTTTGTATGCTTAAGTGATGCACATGTGGCTTGATATCCAAAGGCACTGAAATCATATTGAGGGAAATATTTGCACTCCAGTGAGCATTACTGCACTATTCACAACAGCCAAGATGGAGAAAGAACTAAAATGTTGACAAATGAATGGAGGTGGAAAATTTACGTCACCCATAAATTATGACATTATTATGACAGAAGAAGAAAGATATTTTATGTGGAAACTAGAAATGTCAAATCATAGAGCCATGTTTTGTCCCCTCTGACCAGAGATTTCCCTTCAAATAGTCTTGGTGGGAACCTCAATGATATTTAAGGGCCCCCAGGTGATTCCAGTCTGGGTCCCTCACTGAGCATCCTGACTCTGAGTCCTCCCATCCTGAGGGCTGAGATCTGGGCTGAGAGGCAGGGGGCTCTGCTCTGCTCTGTGTGGGAATGGATCAGGGCCTGATCTGTAACTTGAAGGGGGTTGTTGGGTCCAGCTGAGGCGCCCACTGCTGCCGTGTAGGGGAGGGACTCACCAGGAGGGGAGGGTGATCTGAGAACAGTGTGGGGAAACTCCCTTGTTTGTCTGTGTGTGGAGTTTCCTGTCCTGAGTCCCTCCTGTGACAGTGGGCAGCAGTGGACTGTCTGTCCCACATGGTGAGGTCTCCCCTGTGTGTGTGGTTATTGCACAGGGAGGTATGTGTTGATTCTAAGCATTAAACAGCATGTTTTCCACTTTGAAGACTGACCTCTAAAGACTCATGTTGTCTGAGGATGAAGCCCAGAACAGGAGGAAGAGGACAGAAAAGAAATCAGAAATGGCTATTTCTCAGGTAAAGTCATATTCTCACTGGATTCTCAGTCTGTCCTTCCTGAAATGCCCTTTGGACTTGCTAATCCTGTCTGACTCCAAAGTATCCTGCCTGACACCTGTATATTCACAGTCACCCAGGGCCCTCCCTCAGCGCCTGTCCTCCCCACTCAGACTCCACCCCCGGGACCCCGGGACCTGGAACTTGTGAAGCGGTTCCCTGGGCAGCGTCCTGGGCGAGCTTCACCCCCGTGGATTGGAGACACGGAGTCAGTGCTGTGGGCAGCAGGGAGAGTTGAGGGGCCCATCTGGGTGCACTGTCTGCTCTCTGTAAACCAGAGAAAGAAGCCGCACAGGGAAGTCAGAGATTAATATGCACAATACCTGGTAAAACCTGGAAATAGATCAATAAGGGGAAATTTGTTTAAATACGTGTGTCACTGATGTTAAAAAATCTTAATGATTGGGGATGGAAAGGAAAGTTCAGAAAGAGACATCAGTGATAGAAAGTCTTTTATTCTGTTATCAATTTTAAACAGTGAAATCAAGCTAAATGTCTGGGAGTTGGAAATTTTTAAAATCTCTTTCATCACCTCCATTCTTCAGATTCCATCTTCATTGTGTCAGTTGTGCCCTTTGACACACAGATGTTTTTACTTTTGATGCAGATAAGGCTAGCTTGGATTTTCAGTACTTTGTTGAACAGTATATTTTGACATAATTTTCTGTTTCTAGTTTGTTGAATGTATCTTCTAAAGTTATTGAATTTTGTCAGATTCCTTTTTCTGCGTCAATTGAGATGATCATGTATGGTTTTTTCTTTTAATCTGTTAATGTGATCTATCAAATGAATTAATTTTTATATGTTGAGTCCTCCTTCCCTTATAGGAATAAAATACTCTTGGTTATGAAGTCAGTTAATGTGCTGTTGAAGTTGATTTGCTAGTATTTGTTATGGATTTTGCATCAGTATTCATCATGGGCATTGGTTTTTAGTTTTCCTTTCTAGTTGGGTCGTCTCTGGGTTTGGTTTCAGAATTATTCCAGGTCCATAGAGTGAGTTTACCAGTGTTCCCTCTTCAACTCTGTAACATTTTTAGCAGGATTATAGGTAATTCTTTTTTAAATGTTTGGTAGAATTCTGCATTGTATGTATTTGGTTTTGGGTTTTTATTTGAGGTTTTTGATTACTGCTTGAATCTCTCCAGTTATCTTTCTGTTCAAATTTTTTATTTCTTAATGATTAAGGTTTAGTAGGTTGTATGTGTCTAATAATTTACCTCTATGTTCGAGATTATGCAATTTATTAGCGTTATTGTTTACACTACTCCCTTATAATACCTTGCAACTGATGTCAAAGACATTTTTTAATGTCCTGTTTCACATATCTTTTTGTTATTTGTATCTTCTGTCTTTTTTCTTAGTCGGGTTTTCCAGTTAATTTTTTTTAAAACACCAGTTCTTGGCGTGTTGACTTTCGTGTTTTTCTAATTTCCGTTTCATTTAGCTCTGGTAAAATCTTTCTTATTAACCTCTTTACTTCTGCTAAAATTAGATTTAGTCTTTTCTTCTCTTTGTACTTCCTTGAAATGTAAAAATAGATTTCTGATTTGAAATCTTTTCCCTTTTTGTTGTAACCATTTTGCTGTGTAGAATTCTCTTTCACTACAGCCTTCACTGCATGTTATAAATTTTGGTGTGTGGTATGTTGCATTTTTGTTTTCATCCCAATATCCTAAAATTTCCATGTGATTTCTTCTTTGTCCCATTGGTTGTGTAAGAATGAGTTTAAGTTCTGTGGTTTGCAGAATTTCTTTTTTCCTTCTGCTGTTTATGTTTTCTTTTATTTCATTGTACTCGGGGAAGATACCTTTTATGGTCTCAATCTCTTAAATTTGTTAAGGTTTCTTTTGTGGCCTAACATGCAGTCTGTCCTGGAGAGTGTTTCCCGTGTGCCTGAGAAGCATGTGTTTTTGCTGTTGTTGGGCTGAGTGGTCTGTGCATGTCTGTTATGTCCGTTTGTGTATAGTGTTGTTCACGTGCTCATTTCCCTTATTGATCTTCTGTTTGGTTTCATCCAGGAGTAACACTGGGTCACTGAAGTCTCGTATACTATTACTGTGCTGATGTCTGTTCCTCTCTTCGCTTCTGTTGGTGTATGCTTCTTTTGGGGGAGCTGTAATGTTAGACGTACACATGTTTTTACTTGTTATATCTTCTCGGTGAGTTGACCCATTTAACATTATGCAACATCGTTTGTATTTTGTGTCAGATTTTGGCTTTGTTTTGTCTGGTATAAGGTAGTCATCCTGCTCTCTTTAGGATGGAATATCTTTTTTCATCCTTTCATTTTTAGCTTTTCCATCTCCTTAGATCTGTGAATGTTAATAGTTTCAACTCTCTGAACTTTGTCTCACACTCTCTCTGTGTCTGTCACTCTCTGTTTCTCCTGCTGTTACTTCCTCTCGTGCTCCCCACTCAGGCACCCTGTACGGTGGTGGAAAACAGGACCCCTGGCCAGCCCCCTTCACTCCACTGTTATTTCAGAGGGCATGCATCTAGTGTTTCCTTTTTTTTTTTCTTCTTAATTGAACTGTAGTTGATTTGCAATGTTCTGTTAGTTTCTGGTGTACAGCATAGTGATACAGTTATACATATATGTATTCTTCTCCATTAAAGATTGTTTCAAGATACTGGATATAGTTCCCTGTGCTATTGTTTTTCTGTTTTATACATAGTAGTATGTATCTGTCAATCTGAAAGTCGAAATTTATCCTTTCCCCTCTTTCTCTTTGGTAACCATGAATTTGTTTTCTATGTCCGTGAGACTGTCTGTTTTGTAAATAAGTTGATTTATATCATTTTGTTAGATTCCACTTGTAAGGGATATCATACGATATTTGTCCATCTCCGTCTGGCTTACTACATTTACTATGATAATGCCTTTGTCCATGCATGTTGCTGCCAGTGGCATTATTTCATTCTTTTTTGTGACTGAGTAGTATTCTACTGTGTATACACACCACAATTTCTTTATGCAGTCATCTTTCAAAGGACATTTAGGTTGCTTCCATGTCTTGGCTATTGTAAATAGGGCTGCTGTGAACACTGGGGAGCATGTATATTTTTGAATTAGAGTTTTCTACAGATAAATGCCCAGAAGTGGGATTGCTAGATCATATCGTAACTGTACTTTCAGTTTTTTAAAAAATCTCCATAGTGGCTGCACCAAATTACAATCCCACCAACAGTGTAGGAAGATTCCCTTTTCTCCACACCCTCTCCAGCATTTATCGTTTGTGGACTTTTTACTGATGGCCATTCTGACTGGCATGAGGTGGTATCTGTTTTCTAGTTTTGGTCTGCATTTCTCTGATAATTAGTGATACTGAACATCTTTTCATGTGCCTATTGGCCATCTGTATGTCTTCACTGGAGAATTGCTTGTTTAGGTCTTCTGTGCACTTTTTGATTGGGTTGTTTGCTTTTTTGTTATTGAGTTGTTTGAACTGTTTGTATATTATGGAAATTAAGCCCTTGTCAGTCGTATCATTTAAGTATATTTTCCCCCATAATTTGTCTTTTCATTTGGCTTATGGTTTCCTTTGCTGTGCAAAAACTTGTAAGTTTCATTGGGTCCCATTTGTTTACATTTGCATTTATTTCTATTGCCTTGGTATACCGACCCAGGAAAACATTGGTACCATTTATGTCAGAGAATGTTTTACATATGTTTTCTTCTAGGACTCTTAAGATGTCTTGTCTTTTGTTTCAGTCTTTAAGTCATTTTGAGTTCATTTCTGTGTATGGTGTGAGGGAGTGTTCTGACTTCACTGATTTACATGTGGCTGTTCAGCCTTCCCAGCACACTTGCTGAGGAGGCTGTCTTCTCTCCATTGTGTGTTCTTGCCTCCTTTCTTGAAGATCAATTGACCTTGGTGTGTGGGTTTATTTCTAGGCTCTGTATTCTGTTCCATCAATCCATATGTCTGTTTTTGTGCCAATAACACTTTGTTTTGATTACTGTAGCTCCGTGGTATCATCTGAAGTCTGGGAGTGTTATGCTTCCAGCTTTGTTCTATTTCTTTAGTATTGTCTTGACAATTCTGAGTCTTTTGTGATTCCATATGAATTTTAAGGTTATTTGTTCTTGTTCTGTGAAAAGTGTCCTGAGTAATTTGATAGGTATCACATTAAATCTGTAGGTTGCTTTGGGTAGTGTGGCCATTTTAACAATTTTAATTCTTCCAATCCAAGAGTATGTGATATCTTTCCATTTCTTTAAATCATCTTTAATTTTCTTTTTCAGTCTCTTATAGGCCTCAGCATATAAATCTTTCACCTCCTTGGTCAGGTTTATTTCTAAGGTTTTTTTTTTTTGATGCGATTTTAAAAGGCTTTTCTTTTTTAACTTTTCTAATATTTCATTGTTAGCATGAAGATACGCAACGGAGTTCTGTATGTTAACCATGTATTCTGCTACTTTGCTGAATTTGTTTATCAGCTGTAGTAATTTTTGTGTAGAATTTTTAGGGTTTTCTATATATAATATTATGTTATCTGCATATAGTGACAATTTTACCTTTTCCCTTCCTATTTGGATCATTAATTCTTTTTCTTATCTGATTACTATGGCTAGGACTGCAAATACTATGTTGAATAGAAATGGTGAGCATGGGTGTCCTTGTCTTACTTCAGATTTTAGCAGGAAGCTTTCAGCTTTTTACTGTTGAGTTTTATGTTGGCTGTGGGTTTGTCAGATTCTATTATGTTGAGATATGTTCCCTCTGTAGCCACTTTGGTGAGTGTTTTATCATGAAGGATGTTAAATATTATGGAATGTTTTTTCTGTGTCCCTTGAGATGATCATATAGTTTTTATTTTTTCTATTGTTGTGATGTATTACATTGATTGAATTGCATATGTTGACCCATCCTTGTGAGCCTGAGATGAATCTGATTTAATTGCAATTTGTCATCTTTATGTGTTGTTATATCTGGTTTGCTAATATTTTGTTGAGAATTTTTGTCTTTGTATTCATCAAAGATATTGGCCTGTAATTTTCTTTTTTAGTAGTGTCTTTGTCTGGCTTTGGTTTCAGACTAATGGTTGCTTCATAGAATGAGTTTGGGAGTGTTCCCTCCTCTTGATGCTTTTGGAAGAGTTTGAGAAGGACTGGTATAAGTTCTTTGTATGTTTAGTAGAATTCCCCAGTAAAGCTGTCTGACCCTGGACTTTTGTTTGTGCGGATTTTTTTTTTTATTACAGATTCTATTGCACTTCTAGTGACCAGTATTTTCAAATTATGTTATTTCTTCTTGATTCAGTTTTGGTGGGCTGTATGTTTCTAGAAACTTGTTCATTTCTTCTAGGTTGTCCCAAATTTGTTGGCATATAATTGTTCGTAATAGTCTCTTAAGATTGTTTGGTGTTACTGTGGTATTGGTTGCCATTTCTCTTATTTCTTATTTTTTTGGAGGTGGCGGGGCAGGGGTAGGGTCCTCTCTCTTTTCTTCTTGGTAATCTTGGCCAGAGGTTTGTCGATTTTGTTTAAAAGTAAGGAAGGCTTCAGGAATTTGCATGTCTTGTTTGCCCAGGGGCCACGCTAATCTCTGTTTTGTCCCAGTTGTAGTATCCGCGCTGCAGAAGCTAGCACTTAAATGTTTCCTTCTGATAGTTACTTTTGGTGAAGTGTTCTTGCTTAATGATTATATTTTTTATCATGATTTTTAATGCTTCTAGAAATGTTGAACTTTATTATTATGATAATTTTGTTCTCAATCTGTGAAAATAATGTGTAATACGAATAACTTTTGTAATTTTGTATCAATGTTTCATTAGGGGAAAACTGAATAAATGATGATTAAAAAAAATTGTCCACAAATATATCAAGAGAAAACTTCTCTCATTTCAGTTAATTTTGTGTAGACAGGTGTGTTCATGAGTTTATGGATGTGGAAGTCTATGGTTTTGATAAGAAGTCATGATTTCAAAACTGTACCTTATATCTTTTTTCCTTTTAAATTTTATCTTCAATATATTCCATGGCCTGAAATTTTTTCTGCACTACCTTAAAAAATTTTTTTTAATCTTTTATTTTTTTGTTATTTTTTTCTGCACTATCATATTAACGGTTTAAATAGTAGTAAGATTACGAACATTTTATGTGTATGTGTCTGTGTGTGTGTGCCCATATGTCTAATGGACTTTCATGCTGTTTTATGTCATTCACTTTGTATTTCTTTCAGGTTTTCTCAGGAAACCCTCTGTCAGTGTACTTTCAATGTTCTCTCTGTTGCTTCACTGTTTTATTCCTAACCTTCAGTTTCAAAGCCCAACCTTCTCAGTTAGATGCTTGCTGTGACATTTCTTAGCTTTTTGAGTTGAGTTTCTCAGTGTCTCTGACACAGTTTTGCCCTCTGTCAGATGAGAGTAGATTTTCTCTAATGAGCTATTATGTTGATAACAAATTCATGCCTGTAAAATACTTACTTTGAGGAATCTTTAGCTTATAGGAAGTATTCCAACACTTTAATCATTATTGTTACCATCATAATTGAGATTTTGACATTTTTGTAAAGCTGATGTGGACTTTGTCATCTCTGAAGACACTACTCATTCTGTAGCTCATCTAGATATTGACTGTCACTCAGTGTGTAGGACAGAATATGTAACACTTCTGCACATAACAGCCTGTTCCATGTACATGTGTTTCATGGGTTTTCCACAAAGATGAAAAATCCCTACTAACTGGATGATATACTTATCAAAAGGAGAATGATTTAAGTAACCTATGGTGAAAAAATATAAGAAAAGAATATATATTTATTTGTATGACTGAAGTATTATGTGGTACACTAGAAATTGACACAACATTGTAAACTGACAATACTTCAATAAAAAAATTTAAAAGAATAAAACAAAAAAAAGCATAAGAGTTTAAGGGACACACAGTTTGCTTCAGATACCCTTCCATGGATCTGTCAGAACACATACTTCAACCACATCAATCCTGACCCTTCTCTCCTCTTCCTCAGTTTTCATGAAGATGAGAACTCTTCCTGTGGCCCCTGGGTGAAATGTGTTTTCATTTCAGGAAGGGTTGACATTCAAGGATGTGGCCATCGAGTTCTCCCAGGAGGAGTGGGAGTGCCTGGACCCTGCTCAGAGGGCCTTGTACAGGGACGTGATGCTGGAGACCTGCAGGAACCTGCTGTCTCTGGGTGAGAACTGCCCTCTATAATTCAGGATCTGCCCTTGAGTGTCCTTGCATTTTCCCCTCTGTGCCTCTTGGGAGCCTGTGTTTTGCTTCATTGATCTGAAAGCCCTGTTGACTCAGACATGAGGTGGTGTCATGAATTTCAACTGACCCTTTCTTCACGGTCAGCCCATTTCATGTTGCATCAGGGATTGTTCTAGAGGTTAATTACGTATAAAGCTCAATGGCAAACTCTTAAAAAATATCCAATTTCGTATTTCTACCTTTTGGCTGTTGACTCTCTGTTTTTCGAAGAGAGCTAGATATCCGCATATCACACTGTCCCCTCTTCATTTAGAAGGAGGCAAGCGGTGGATGAATGTGTGAAATACTTTTCCAGACCCGCCCCGAATATCCTCCCTTCTGAGCTGAGCAGAGAGCTAGGATTCTGGAAAAGACACAGTACTTTGGATTTCTTCCTTCTGATAGGCAACAATTTCTATTTCTGATTTGAATATTACCTCTATTTTGGAGCAAGAGAAACAGCCCTGGACTGTGGGGTATGATGTGAAAATAGAAAACGCAATGGGTGGGAATGTATGAAAAGTGTGCACACAGGTCAGATCTCAGAAGAGCAGAGAGGAAGCCACAGCATTAATAGTGTTTGGGATCCTTTCTCATAGTGGAGAGTTCATTAAGAAAACAAATTTATTTATCAAAAACTCTGACAGGAAATTTTTCTTCTCTTCAACTTCTCACTCTGTCCTGCAACTTATAAAATGTGTTCTTTCACCCTCCAGTGGTGCTGCAGCTCCTCCAGAGACAAAGGCAAAGTCTGTATCATGATCTACACTGCCATCTGTTTGCTGTGGAATTGTTATTTGACTTTGAGAAGCATGATGGGGACTGTTTTAAAGGGGCCTCTTGTCCCCTCATCTCCTTCAGGGCGTGATTCCACTGGATGCTTGGTTCTCAGTCCATATAGATCAGAGCTGATGCCTCCAGACTCCAAGCTCTGAACATTTTTTTGTTCCGTCCCCATTTGATGTTTTTAGAAGACCTAATCAGAAAATGGGGAAACACTGGCTGCTCTTTGATTCCATCTGGCACCTCAGAACCTGCGTGGAGCTGCCTCAGATCCTGTCTGCTTGTTTGCATCCCTCAGCCCTTTCTTCCGTTTGCTTCTGCCACGCACTTCAGGGCTGTTTGTAACAACCAGGTGGATTGGAACTTCTGTAATTGTTACTTAGGACAAGTAGAAGGACAGTGGACACAGAGATCCTCTTTTGACCCCAAATCCTACAAGGGGAGCATATGTGCGTCTTTCAGGCTCCCAGTTTGGCATCTGTGTGTAGAGTACTTGGTCCCTTCTCAAGGTCCTATAATATCCGACCCACACATGTTATATTTTTTCCGCTCTTGTACTGCTCTAGCTAGTCTCAAATGTAGACTCTTCCAGATTTTATATTCTCCTTAGTTGTATAGTTTTGCTTCTTAAAACTTGCTTTTGAAGTACGTAGTCCTAGGGTTTGATGGTTTTTTCAGTTTCTTTGCTGTGATAATCCACCTCTAGTCAACCACTATGATGGACTCTCTATGGGGTGGGTTTACTAGGTAACAGAAAAGTTTTGATGGAGGAAACTCCCTCACATGCTGTAATAATTTCCTGCTTCGTACAGCACCACCACTTGAAGCTCCTTAGCAGAGTGGTCAACATGTTGTATACGAGACAGAGAGTATTTCAAGACCTTGACCTATAAATCTTTCCAGTTTTTTTTTTCTGGTTTTGAGGAATGTCAAAAAATCGTGTCTCTGGGACACTGTGACACTGTTGTTCACAAATAGTAATGACCATCCCCTTTGAGCCTCGGTCAGTAGTATAGGGGTTTCTCCTGGGGACAGTTGTGTCCAAGCTCACATCCTCACATCTGTGGGGCTGTTGACTCCATACACCGTTGTCGATGCTCTGTGTGCCATCACCTGTGTGTGAGTTCTGCCTGCACATGTGATTTTGAAGCGTCTGGATGCGAGATTATGCAGTGGAGTGATACCTTCAGTGATGAACCACCAGTTGTTTTATTGAAGACACTGTTACTTTCATTTTGTATGTTTCCCTGCATCAGAAGTGATTTTGATTTATTTTATCATTACGTTACTGTTTTCATGTTACTCCTAGGGTTTTTGTTTTGTATTTGCGATGTGGGGGATGGTTGCTTGGGGAAGGGCCCCCCCATGGTGGAGCTGGTGACCAGTCCCTGTTAGAGTTCTTTGTATATTCTTTGTGTTTGTCTGTTATCAGACATGTGATTTGCAGATCTTTTCTCCTGTACCATAGATTGTCTTTTCACTCTATTGAGTGTGCTTAGTGCACAATAATGTGTAATTCTGATGTAGTATAATTTATCTTTTTTACTTTGTGGGCCTGTGCTTTTGGTATTGTATTTGATACATCTTTGGTGTATCTAATGTCAAGAATCTTTTTCTGTATGTTTACTTCTAGGAGTTTTATACAGTAAGGACTTAACTTTTAGGTCTTTATTGATCTTGAGTTAATTTTTGTCTGTAGTGTAAGAGAATGGTCCGACTAAATTCTTCTGATACTCAGCTTTCTTAGCATGTTTTGATCATTAGAGAGCCCTTCCCGCACTGAGTGGTCCTGATACCCCTGTGGAACGTCACTTGACCTTGTACGCAAGACTCTTTCTGATCTGTCTGTTCTGTGCCAGTGGTCTCTGTGTCTGTGCCAGTACCGCACTGCTTTGATCAGTGTAGCTTTGGAGTGAGTTTTGAAATGAAGTGTGAGACCCCTGAATGTGTTCTGTTCAAGCGTGTTTTTGCTATTCATTCTCTCTTGAGATTCCACAGGAATTGTACGATCGATCTACCTGTTTTTCATGGGAATGGTACTGGGATTGCTCTCGGGGTCGGGTGTGTCTGTTGGTAACTTTGGCTGGCGTTGACGTCTTGTCGATACTGGCTTCCCGTCCAGGAACATGGGATACTTTTTCAATTATTTGTATCTTTCCTAATATTTTCCAGCAGTCTTTTAGTTTGTAGTATATAAATTGTTTACTTCTTGTATAACATTATGTCTAATATTTTATTAATTTTTGTTCCCTTGTAAATGGGATAGTTGTCTCTGTTTCTTTTTTGAGTGTTCATTTTTGGTATTAAGAAACCCTTTTGATTTTTGTATGTTGAATTGATACCTGGTAATTTTTTGGAACGCTGTCATTATTTCTAGCAAGTCTTTTGCAGACTCTTCAGGGTTTTCCGCATACCCGATCATGGCCATTGGGAAGAGAGAGAATTTGGCTCCCTTTTGCTGCCGTGGTACCAGTTGTCTCCTTCTCTGCCCATGTGTCTTTGCTGGCGCTTCCAGTAATAGATTTTTGGAAGTAGTGAGAGCAGATATCCTTGTCTTGTTTGTGATCTTAGAGGAAGAGCTTTCAGTCTTTCACCACTGAGTGTGATGAGAGCTCTGAGGAGCTGCTCCGTTGAAGCCTTGTTTTCAGCGCAGTGTTAGTGTTAACACCTTTTCCTAACAGAGACCATGCATTAAAATATCATGATGTCGAACGAAGTTCATGTGCCTGACGCACCGTGAAGCCAGACAAGCCGAGCAGAGGAAGGTTTATTAGTCAAGGAGGCAACCTGATGATGGAGACCCAGCCTTGTTTCAGATCCATCTTCCTGGCTGGACAGGGTGTCAGATTTTTAAGGGAGATGGGAGGGGAGTGTCTGTGATTCCAGCTTTGCTGCAGAATCTCAGCCGCAGCCTTTCTGGCACCGTGTTGGGACTTTTTTTCGTGGTTACTCTGTCTGATCCTGCAAAACTGGCTCCTAAATCCTGGTCTTGGGATCCTTCAGCTTCCTTCCGGGAGAGGGCAGAAGCGCTTGGTGGTGGGGGCAGTTATGATTTACTCAGAGCCCACGTGTCAGGTTATGAATTCCGGTTCTCTGTTGACCCCTCCAGGTGTCATCAACTTTTGAGTCCTCTTGGGGCCGCTGGTTGCAGCCACAGTTTGGGGTCACAAATCAAGTTAACGGTTTAAGCTGCCAATCGTGGGAAAGAGTATGTTGGGCTTGCTGTTCCGTTGTTTCTGCCTTTCCTCACCCCTTCACAGTAACTGCTTGAGTCTGCTCTTTGGATTTCAGGGAAGGTCGAGGAGACAAAAGCCTTTTCTCCAAATAGGAAATGGGACTAGGAAAGGCTTTTGTCCCCTGGAGGGCCTCACAGCATCCCGTTTGGTTTCAGTGCTCCCTTTTTGTTGATGTTCCCCAGTTTTGGGGGGAACAGGTGTGGAACAAGATGTATGTGTACAGAATAAATGCACCCATCTCCTTTGGTTGTCCTTTTCCTGGTTTTTCCTTCCGATTTCTGCTAAAAACATTCTTGCACAATCTCTTGGAATATTATGTATGTTTTTCTTGACTATAAACATGACAGTGGAATGCATGGCATATTCAGTTTGATACATCGCACAGCAAATAGTGTGTGAGACGTAATTCTGCTTTTTCCTTGCAATGTCACGCTCTGACGTTTTAAATCTCTTTCATTTCTGTCCATTCCCATAGTGTAATTCTCATGGTTAAAAATGGGACAGTGGTACCCTACTTGCTAAATCAATTCGTCTTTTCTCTAGAGGTCAGTATGTTAGGTGCAGGCGTGAATGATGCAGTTACAGTCACACAGACGCGGCAGTCTCTGGCTGTGCTCCCATGTGTGCGTGTGCCCCGTGCTCCACTCAGACCCTCTCTCCATCCTGACCTTTCCTCACATGGTACCTGGATGTGGATGGAAACATGGTTATCTGTTAGCACATGTGAGTTGTTGTCCTGAACTTCCCAGGTTCCACAGCCCTCCCTCACCCATCCCTCCACCTTCCACATGACTCACACTGTAAAATGACCCCTCTTCATCCATTGAACACCTTCCCCAGGACACAGCCGAAATTACCGTGTGCAGCCGTGATGACTCAGAGACCATTTCTGGAAGGGATGGCTGAATAACTGTATTAGTTACACAGCTCACCTCTTCTTGCATCTCCCTGGACATTTTATTTCTAAACTCTTGGTATTTGTTGTAATATTTGTAATCTATCCTGCCTGGGTGGGCAGTCTTGCTTAAGAATATACTGTCTCCGTGTCTAGGTCCAAGGTCACATCCTGGTTCTCTCACCACTTTCTGTGTCTTTTGGGGTCATGGAGCCAAACCGCTGAGTCTACTGCCCTGATTTGACAAATCGTGTTAATTTACCTCAAGCCTTTTAAAACAAACTAGTGCTGTCAGATGGCTTAGAATATTGCCTGTTTCGTAGTAAATACTCAAAAGTTACTTTTGTATAAAAAGCTGTATAAATATTTTGTCATGGTTTTTATAACATCCGTTTGAATTATTAATTTGTTCTCAACGACATTGTGTCTGACCCTAGTTAATAAATTTACCAAGTGCTCATTGTTTATTGCATGTGTTTTGGAGCCAGTGAAGTAGATGATTTAAGGTACTGCGTAGGTACAAATTGTACTTAATGGCTGTTAGATAACTGGAGAATCTTACTATTTGTTGGTTGTGATTTACAGATGATGGTCTTTCAGCATGTCTTATGCAATACAGCTGACACACTACCTGTTAATGTAAAATAAATGCCTTTTTGTGTATTTGTAGTTTTGAAGCAGGTATTCAGAAAAATAGTTTGTTTTCTTAAAGGCAGTTTTATCAAATTCTTCATTTTTCTCTGTGCTGTGTTTGGTCCACAATTCTAAGCAGCCACTTAGATTAGTCATTGGTTACATTGGTTTCGGATTATTTAGTGTTACAGTATGTTGTGCGCTCAGTAGCATTTGTTTCTGTACAGTAAGTGTGCAGGATTATCTGTGCTATGGTTCTTCCTCAGTCATGAGATGGCAGTATGTTTAGTGTTAATTGGTATGTGCTTTGGGGTCATTCATAGTGGAAAAGTTCCCTTTCTTTGAGAGCTGACATAAGTTTGTCCAGTGTGAATATTTTTGTGCTAGGGTGTTTGATAACTAGCCTACCCTAAAAGCAATTTGAATTGCACATTACCTTTCTTTAGTAAATAATTTGATCCCATTATGGGGAGGTGGGTATAGCTCAGTGGTAGAGCGCATGCTTAGCATGCATGAGTGAGGTCCTGGGTTCAATCCTTAGTTCCCACGTTAAAAATAAATAGATAAATAAATCAGTAAATCTAATTTCCACCCCCTCCCACCGCCCCCAAAAAAACACCAACAAAAACTTTATCCCTTTAGTGTTTCTAATAGTTTAAGGTCGTGGTTGGGCTGCTTCATAACTCTCTTTGGTATAAGTATTACTGTTGGTGTAATGTCATATATTCAAAAGGAGGCATTTGCTTATGAATTGTAGTGAACAGGATACCTATGTTGCTTTGTATCTTGTAGATCTCTCTCCTATGCATGTGGTTAAGCACTTACAACCGAAAGCAAACAGTGACATAGAGGAAGTATTCCAAACAGTGATGTTGGGAAGTCCTGAAAGTCGTGAGAGCAAACACTTCACCTCAGGGAAATCCAGGAAAACACGTATGACTTTGAGTGTTGGTGGAGAGGTGACGTAAGATGTCACGAAGGAATGGGTGTAGCCCATAAGGGAGATCTCACAGGTGGAAGAGGTTGACCTGACAGAAGGGATATGGGAATCAAGCCCACTGGAAATAGGCTTGGGTTAAACGTTCAGGCTGAGCTGCACATACTTCTTACTGAAGGGCTGATTTCTGAATGTGATGAAGCTGAGAAGTCTGTCAGCAGTAGTTTCTCGTTTTCACCATTTCAAAGACTTCCTCCTAGTGTCCAAACTGATGCGTCTAATATACATGGGAGTGATTTTATGCATCCTTCTGTGATGACGCAGCGCCAGAAAGCACACAGGGAAAGACCTCACAGACGTGATGAGTGTGGGAAAAGCTTTCTCAGGGTCTCACACCTCACCAGACATCAGATCATCCATACTGGAGAGAAATTATATCAGTGTGATGTATGTGACAAATTCTTCAGTCGAAATTCACAGCTTGTGCGTCATCAGAAAATTCACGGTGGAAAGAAAGGTTATAAATGTAATGAGTATGACAAAGCCTTTAGTGATGACTCCACCCTCACCAGACGTCAGATCATCCACCCAGGAGCGAAATTACATAAATGTGATGTGTGTGCCAAAGTCTTTAGTCGAAATTCATACCTTGCAAATCATTGGAGAGTTCATACTGGAGAGAAACCTTTCCAGTGTAATGAGTGTGGCAAAACCTTTAATCGCTGCTCAAACCTTTCTAGACATCAGACAGTTCATACAGGAAAGAAATTATATAAATGTGATGTATGTGCCAGTGTCTTTAGTCGAAAGTCAAACCTTGCAGTTCATCTGAGAATTCATACTGGAGAGAAACGTTATAAGTGTAACGAGTGTGGCAAGCTGTTTAATTACAGTTCACACCTTACAACCCATCGGAGAATTCACACTGGAGAGAAACCTTACAGATGTAATGACTGTGGAAAGGTCTTTGGTCAAAAATCACATCTTCGACTCCATTGGAGAATTCATACCGGAGAGAAACCTTTCAAATGCAACGAGTGTGGCAAGGTCTTCAGTCGAAATTCACACCTCACAAGTCATCAGAGAGTGCATGTGGTAGAGAATCCTTTCAAATGCTTTGAGTGCGGAAAAGCCTTTGCTCAGGTCTCAGCCCTCACTAAACATCAGAAAATCCATACGTGAGGGGAAACTGGGCAAGTGTGACCACGTGGGAAGGTCTTCGCAACCCAAACTTCAAAAGAAACCCTACAGATACTAAGAGTGTGGCAAAGCTCTTGTGCGTTCAGCCTCACTTACCATCAGATAACTTCATACTGGAGAGGAACCTTACAAAGGTAATGACTGTCTCAGAGTGTTGAGTCAAAATTCATACTTTATGATCCACCAAAGAATTCATCCTGGAGAGAAACCTTAGAGATCTAACGAGTGTGTCCCATCCTTCAGTGCACTTTCAAGCCTAATTTACCATCAAGTATCCTTACTGGCGAGAGCTCTTAACAGTGGGGTAATGGTTTTAGCAGGCGTTCACATCTCAGGCTTCGTGAGAAATTCATACTGGCTAGAAGCCAGAGAAATGTATTTAGTGTGGTCAGACCCGAACCAGCACTTTACTGCCTCCCCTGTTAGTATAAGAGAAGCCTGAATTCTAACTCAGGGAAGATGAGTCTAGCCCCCAACCTTGTCTGCTGGCTTTCCAGATAAAGTCCCCATTCCTTGCCCCAACAACTAGTCCGTCAGTTGACTGGCCTGTTGTGCGGCGAGCGTTAAGAGCTTGGGGTTGGTAACATGTTGATCTTATGCCTTCGTTCCAGGCCTTTCATGATGGTCTCTGGGAAAGCCCAGCAGGATGAAGGGGCTGATTTCTTTAGATGTGGTTCATTCACATCCATGCTCCCTGGAAAGACGAGGACCCTGAATTATCCAGTTCAACAGTGTGTGAATTACCTTCAAGGAGGGGCAGAGAATAATGTAAAACTGTGACTTGCCTCATCCTGCTCACTAAGTTCAGGGTGCTTGTCTGTGGAGAGATCACCGTGGGTTATGGACAGAGAGCTCCACCAGCTGCCCATAAACAGCACACAAGGACGTTAAGGGACAGGCTTTTCATGGGAGGACAGTGACCAGTTCCTAGGGACTGACTCTCCACTAGAAATAGTGCAGGGGGAAAGTTGGTCACTTTCTCCGTCGGATGGCACTGGCTGTTGATGCTGAAAGAAAAACTAGTCCTTCTCCTGGAAACTGGAGAGAGAGCTGCTATCTTGAGAGACAAGTTTAACCGGAAGAACCAGAGTGGCATGTGTACGGTTAGGATTCACGTTTAACTGCTGCTGTCGCCTTTTGCTGCTGTTGTATTGGAATGTATCACAGGTCTTCTGTTTTAATACATAAAATTTAATCATTTTTGTCATAACGCTGGATGAATCATGTTTCTTCCACCAACACCGTTTTACTCTGCCTTGGTCCTTTATAACAGAAGCTAACAGTGCACCATTAGGCAATCAGGGTTGAATGAATCTCCATTTCTTTCTATGATACAATAATTTCTTCTTAGATGCAAACAGCATACAATTTGGGAATGACATACTCATCGTTTGTGCATGAGTTATTCTCCCCACATTCTGTTGCAGGATATTTCTGTGGCTGTAATGCAAAAGCCTAACAGTACTTCAGACTCTGACTTCCGTGAAGGTACAGAAATTGAACCAAGTAAATTAAAAAACAAACTGGCTTTATGGAACGGTTCATGACTCAGGCAGCGTGCCATGTAGCAAAGAAAGGTGCTTCCAGGAGCTGTGCCAAGTGGAAAGGTTTTCAAGGCAGAAACTGGGCAGGATAAGAAAGCTGTTAGTAAAAGAAAAGGTTGTTTCAGGCAAAGTTGCCTTTTTCAGTAAATGGAGGATGGAAGTTTTACCCTGTAGGTTAACTCACTGGTGTTAGGAAAGTCCAGGGTGACTGCTTTAAGGTTGCGTTCCTGGGAGGGGAGAAACCGCAGTGAAATCTTGCCCTGTTCTCCTGGCGCCAGCTTGGGGCTTTTTTTTTTTTTTAAACACTCTAAAATATGCTCCCTATTTCTGAATAGACACTATATGAATATATTTCTTCATGTCCCTTTTTTGTGTTGAAATAGAACCCATGGCATGCACCTTGATTAACATGAGGGAAAATAGGAAAATAGTACCTTTGTGCAAAATTTTGAAAAATGTTTAAATCATGAAATCTCTCTTGTGCTTGAAGTGCTTAGTGCAATAATTTGAAAAGATCAGCGTCATGAGTTTTGTCCTGAACAACATACAGTGGGGACATTTTTGTTGATGGATAAACTAGACATTTCGTTTCTCCCAAAACATGTTGCTTGTGTGCATTTGTGACCATTCCCCGGATTAGACTGAAACCTCACCCAGAGTTGGTATGATCGTGAGTGCTGATACTAACATTGAGGGGTCATGAGGATATTTCTTCAATAATTCAGCATTCTCAGGGGACAGTGGAGACTGATGGTGTTCAAAAAATGGTTTGAGAGACCAGGGGATGGTGACTGGCTTGGTGTGTTAAGGTGATGAGTGGGTGGGGTTGAAGGGAGGTTACCTGCTTTTGGTTTGAACCTCCAGTTGGTACCAGAGGAAGGAGTCATCAGGCTCTTTTTAGCAGCTTGCCCAGATGGGTTGAGTAGGAGATTGTGGTAAGGCTTCATCGGTGTGACCAGTGAAACATCACAAAATGCGGACTATTTAATTAAACACTAAATGTTTCCCCTTCAAACCTGATTTCTTGGTTAGGACACACCACACTTTTCTTCACAGTAATAATTTACTACATTTCCTTTCCGTCAGCGCAGTATGTTCCATTGTTCAATATAGTTGTTAAACATGTCTGTAAAATACCGTTTAGATACATTGCCTAAGATATTTAAACTATTTTAATAAAAATGTTTGCAAATGTTCATTAGATAATATAAATAAGCACTTATACTAGAACAACAGTTTTCCAGAAGATTTTAAAATTTCCCTTTTAAATTATGATGTTAAGGATATGCTATATGGTTTATTTGTAATGGAATAAAGTATTCTTTAATACAGTTTTTCCTTAGCATTGTATTTTTCTTCCACACGTATGTCCCTTGTTTGACACCAAGGGACAGATGAATCGGTGTGTTATTTTCAGGCTCTTGCAACATGAAAATGCACATAACACAATTACATGTACAAAGTAGGTGCACGAGAAGCAGGAGGAGAGAGAGCTCCTCTAGGGGTCAGTTCAGTGAAAGAACTGGAAAGGGCACAGTAGAGACCTGACCTGTTTTGAGGGAGTTGGCTGTGGTCAGGTGCTTGAAAATCGAGTGTGTGGAGCCGCACGTGCACACAGTGAAGGGAATGAAAATATAACGATGACTGTGGTAGAAAGATGCCAAGCTTCCAACTATAGTTTGTGACAAGGAGACACTCTCCATTCTTAAATGTCTGGATGCCATCCTACCCTTTCCCAGTGATGGATTCACATTCAGAGCCAGAGCATTGTGAGAAAAAATAAGATTTGTGCTCCTTTGAACATGACAACTGACATCCAGTATCCTCCACTTCGAATTTGCTCCCAAACAAAAAAATACATTTCTCTTCGGTAAGTGATCTTCATTTCAATTTCTGTTTTCTTTCACATCACACTTGCACTGAGAGTCACTGTAATTACTGCCGTATGCATAATATCTTAATTGAGTTTTCAGCTCTGAAATAAGTTCTAATGTCTTTTCTCGTTTCCCAGATAAAGAAACTTGGATGGGACCAGAAAACTCCCATCCCAGGAAGTGGCTGAATCTGGATTTGAATCCATGCTGTCTGGCTGCAAAGGTAATTTCTTAAGCACGTAGCTACACTAACAAAGCACGTTATTTATACCCTTCAACTACTCAGCGTCTGTAGTTAATTTCACGGGTGTGTCTTTCCATTTTTAATTGACTTAATGTCATATGTAATTGTGGTTATGGTAACTTTGTTTGATCTATACAAGCATATTCCTGATTTTTGTGCATTTTGCTTTATTGCTCCTCACAGATACTGCATTTTGTTTTTGTTTGTTGTACACATTGAAGGTTTGTGGCAACCCTGCATGGAGAAGGTCTTTGGTGCCATCTTTCCAACAGCATTTGGTGAGTTTGTGTCTCACATTTTGGTAATTCTCACATGTTTCAAACATTTTCATTGTTACTATATTTGTTATTGGTGGTCTTTATTATTTTTTCTCTTTTAAAACTTTTTAACTTTTTTTTTTAGAATTTTGTGGGAGGGTAATTAAGTTTATCTATATTTTTAAGGGGGCACTGGGGATTGAA